TTTCCTTATTGAAACAGAATACTACTCGAACTCCTACTTGCGCCAATTTCAAATGTAACACCCAGAAAAGAGCGCTTTAAGTGTCCCTTCTTCCATAAAACAATTACAGGCAAAAGAAAACATGCACCAGTATCCTTTGTTATCAGTGCCAAATGCACGTGCGTCTTGAAATCAATGAACTTCCGTCCGATAACATTCCTTATCGTAAACGACCTTCTCACACGCAATTTTACAATTTACACGAATGAGAAAATTTGAATAATTCTAAAATGCAACAATAGACAATAGAAGTAACAATTAAATCATTTACATATACAGAGTGTCCCGTTATTATCTTCGGTATTATTTCAGTCTTTTTTCACCTGACGTTGTTTACACAACAATATACACTGCTTTCTTAAGGCAATTTGTGCGTATGAAAGATCACACTATTCTAAAAATTTCTGGGGAAAATAAATTATGCAATTACAAAACTGAAGTTAATCAGGCTTTGTGGCCGATCAGTTTTTGTTCACATTCCAGATGCGAAAACACCGGCCGATTTATGGAGAAAATGAATATAATGATTCGGGACAAGGAATCGCCCTGTATCGACAATTTAATTCGATTTTCTTGATTAATTGTGAATTGACTGAAGAGTACGCACGGAAAAATTATGGACACGGCACACCAGATGACCGCCATTCGGTGGGTGATTCCTGTTTTTGGTTGGGAGTAGGTAGCGTTAATGCACGGTCTGATGATGATGAAAATCGAACATTCGGGAATAAAATCACCGCGGAAGCAACCAAAACAAAATTATTTATTGAAATTAGTTAGTGAAGGATACCGATCTGTCACATCAAAAATACGCTTGAGTCTAGTGATGACCTGAAATAAATGTTTGGCACGAAAAGCAAAATCCGACATGAAAACTCTATCCGGCTCGCACAAAGCGTTAGAATAAAAACACAATTAATTGATTGACTGAGAATAACAAAAATTTATATCTAAACAGTGAAAAAAAAACATTAAAACAAAATCCTTGCAAGAAAGAAAAGCGTTCAAATCTTATTTGGACATATTACCCCGCACCAGGCAGACGACCAATAAAATAAGAAATCCTAAAATTACTAACAGTTTTTTTTTTCAATAATCAAAATAATCTGGTAGTACAAAATATAGGCGCACTAAAGTCACACAAACGATAACAACCTCTGAATTTTACTTTGCCCTATAACACAGAATTAGATGATAAACAAAACCGGGATGATGAATAAAATTACAAAATTTTCAGTAACTGTCCGGACGGTAGAAACTTTTTACTCGTAAAAAAAAGTCGTCTCTGTGTACTACACTGCTTCTTTGTTGAACTGGACCAAACCTTTCTGTAATCAGACAACATGCTATAAACTCCCCACACAAGCGGAGCTTCTTTGTTTTCTGCAGAAGCCTGTTTGATAATATTAATACTTTCTATGGCTACGTATTGATCCCCTTTCTAGAAAAAATTTAAATATTGACATTGCAGACGTGTGTATTACAGTGTCCTATTTGTAATATTTTTGAGATCGTTAATTAAATCACCAACTTCCGGGATAGGAACGTGTCAATGTTTAACGAACGTTTCGCCCACTTTCGTAAGGAGTTTCCTGAACAGTGGTTTAGAGATCCGAATGGTCGTTCCCGAATTTGGGATACATTTAACATTGGAACAGCGCACTATTTAAACAGAACATAATCGTGCACTTCAGAAACTGTACAAGGAAATGGAAGCACTAGAACTAATGTAACCGTTGAACACTCGTTCACTGATGACGAGGATAACTTTGTTGATGAAACGCGTTTCATATTTTAATATATTAATGTGATTTATTTGTGTTTTTGTTTTACCATCACAAGGAAATTCTTATAATTTTCTGGTACAAGAAACGACATACGAAAATGTACAGTCAATGCCGCGATTGGATGACAGAAATAATGGGTGAGTACTTACTTTGTATGGCAACACAAATCACCCCAAATGTTCAATTCATAAAGTAATACACCGCAATTGATATTGCGGCTGGAGTTCCGGGATTTTCGTAAGCGGAATGAAGTATACCGTGTGTAAACACAGTGATTGAAGGGCAACACACAGAAAACCCTCGTCAATCGCTGGAAATACAACATGAAATGTAAAGTTTACAAAGGAGCGCAGTGCCGAATTTACTGTAATGTTATGATTTTTCTGCAAGAAAGGCCCTTACTTTTCGAGGATATATGTCCTGCAGGGGGAGAGATTAATGTGATATTAAGATTCCACGTTTCAACTAATGAGAGAAAACCTTCATCAACTTTTGTCCCCTCGGTGTGTGGTCGCTAGCCAAATCTGTCATACGCAAAAGGCCCTTTGATAAATGCACACACGTAACTGAAATTAGTGATCACTTTTTTTGCGTTTGATACCTACGGTAGTTTGGTAAATGTCGATGTAATCTGCACTTGGCAACCCATTCTTTAACGCTCATCTCGAATACAATGTCTTATATGGAGATGAATGTTTTACATAGAATAGCTACTCAGGTACGTAACTGCTTTTATCGAGCTGCAGCATTTCAGGATTCAGCTGCAATCTCTAAACTCAAGTAGTTGCAGCTCTCTATTTACAAACTCTCTTCTACACTTAAGAGTCAAAAGAGACCAGCGCTCAAAATAAATATAAAAAATTCCCCTTTATGAAATACATTGAATTTTCGCATGCATTCCGCACTTTTATTTAAAGTGAGCCAGATATACATCTGGAGCTATTTTAGAGAAAATGGAATAGAATGAACTACGCCTAAAACGCCCTTATAGTCATTTAGTCGTTATCACGTTCACAACCCAAGCTCTAGGAAACATTAACACGTTGAAACCTCTGCTTTCATTATTTAAAGGCAGCGACCCAAATATCTTTTATTGTCGGAAGGATGATAATGTTCTATTAAATAATAAATCTCCATTAAGAGTCGCGTACCCAATTTACTTTGATACCTTTTTTCGCGTCATTCAAATTACAATTTACGCTCTTTAACTAATTTCAGTTTTCTTTGTATTATAATGCCGCTTTCATGTACAAATTTGTTCATAACTTCGAGCATACCGAATCCAATTCTTTAAAAATTCAGTTAGCTGATCTTTTTCATTTCCTGGTCGCAGTCTATTGTAATAATTAAGGTGTCAACTTGTTTACATCTTTCTAAGGTACGTTTACGATACATTTGACAAATTTATCGCTAGTTCGGTCATAGAGATACCGATTTTCAAGAGCAGATCCTTTCAATAAATATATTTTGCAAAAGAAAAAAATTTGTAAATTTGACATGTGGAAATAAGTGCCACAATTACAATTAAAATTATCTGGCATTGGTAGTGTAAAAGACACTAACCAATGAAAAATCAGATATCGCCATTTTGAAAGATAATTCGCCATTGTGATCGTGAAAAAACTACGAAGCCATCACGAGGGGGGGATTATTTTAGGAAAACTTGGGCAGATTCGCGTTTTGGTATAGAAGGCGACCAGTATGGTCTTCATGGATTCGCGTTTTAGATTTGAAAGCAACCATGAGTTTTAGTCCCGATACAAATAAAGGGATTGTAGTCGTTTTAGATTTGAAAGTGACCAGTGTTAGTGCTGATACCAATAAAGGGATTCGCGTGTTGATCGTTGGGGTGACCAGAGATTTTCCCGTTGTATCAGAAGTGACCAATTTAAGGTCATTTTGACCGGGAATCGTATTTTCTAACATTTACGGTAAAGAATGTCAGTTTTATTTGGTGGAAGTGTATAAGAAATATTACATTTGGATATCAGAATGAAGGTTTTCACCTTAACGTGAACAATTTCCGTGCGACGCATCGTAATTGTGAAGGAACATTTTCGTAGTACTAAGAATCTAAGTATACGGAGTAAAAACAAAAACTTTCCTCTTTTTGGTAAAAAATCAGTAATATCAGCAGTGTGATTTACACAGTATGCAATGAATTTACACCAATTAAGAAAAAACTTTTTTGGTCATTAACAATACGTAACAACCCCCAACGTTTCGTATCACATAGTCATTTCTAGATACCTAATCTTGGCATTTACAATGAGAGAAAAAGATAAAAAAAGTTCTAACATGCAATATGAAGGAAAGAATTAAAATTAAGTATATCAAAGCTGTAGGAATCCAAAGCTTTAAACCACAGCTTAATGTTGTTTTCAACCGTGCCTTAAGAAATTATCCGTTCAAATTTCGCCGTAAAGTTTTGAGTTCAAACAGATGAAACTTCAACAACTGTAATGTGAACTTATATCTTAATTAATACTTGACATTTTCCAAATATACGTGCGTTAATATTCTTAGCTTAATAATTTGTTTTGTTCAACTTTCACTAATTTTCGTATTAATTTTGCACTTGTAAATGTACAAAGTTTTAAAATTGCTTTGTACTTAAATACTAAAAACAATGTACACAGATCGCGTTCTAAAGTGTTATTCAAGCGAATTCAATTCACCGATCTCGGAAAGCATTGTATTTGAAATTAAATGGAAGTGCATTATCAAAGCGACAATTACGGAACTATCAGAAGAATAAAAAAGGAGGAAACAATTACAATACAGATCGATTTGTACTAAAAAAGTATCAACGATTTTTCGCTAAAGGAACAAATTCAATCTAAATCTGTTTCGCTTGTATCGCCCGAAGGAAATTTCGATTGACCATGTCATATATATTGTGTCTGGTTCTGTTTAAACTCCAGGCGATGTCTGCGTATGTATGATCGAACATCAAAGAGTTAATTTAATTAGACGATAGAAGGATCTTGTTAATTAACTGACTCACGGATTTTGATTACTATTCGACGCCTACGCAAATAGACGACACTGGCCTGTCGGGCACTGACAGTAAATTTAAATCAAACTATGTCTCTAAAAGGTGGTCTTTGTGCGTAGAAGGTTTACTGAGTGAGTAGAATTTGGGAAATGCGTTAAACCGGAAAATTTTCTTACCTTCAATGATGCAGTGGATAGACCCTTTTACGGATGAATGGAGCTTCGTTGATTTATTCTGGAAACAACAACGATTTTTAGAAATGTAATAAATAACGGAAACTCTAGTATTTGATTAAGAAGATGCCTTTAAAGAGTGACTGAAGTGGAATCGCTAATGCTTATGTGAATTTAAATGAATTTTAGTCATATCGATTTTGCTAGCTACGAGATGCCATTTAGATGCAATCTAATCCACAATGTTTCGTCGTATTGTCACTTTCTATGGTTCTCTGTTCGACAACTTATCTCGCTTTCATAGACATTAAAGTTTCAGCATGAAAATGTCAATTCTATACTGGATCGGATCCTAATTCCTAATAGTTGTACGGATCTTTACAATAAACAAAACTTGCCATATAAGGGAAAGGTCCACCCAAAAAACTACACCTCTTGTTGCTTGGATGGATCTCGACGAAACTAATGATAATACACAAGTAGGTTTCCACGGTAAATGGCGGATAAATTCCTGATCATCCCAACCTTCATTGTTATGGGCTACAATTCCGAAGTCACTAAAGAAACCACTGCGTTCGTTTTAAACTTTGAGGACTTTAAAACTTTTTAGAAATAATGCAAGAACTGATTTGCTAAGAAATGAGTTTGAACTGTTCACAATATTATCTAAACTTTTCTACTTTCCGAATTCAACGACAATGCTTATTTTCATAAAAAATCGATTACGGTTATCCTTTAAGTAGTTGGCTAAGACTACGTTTCGAAATTGTATAATAATTAGCTGGCAGTCCAGTATCTCTCTCAGACAAAAGCTTATTATAATTAGTCGTGAACAAGGAGTACAGGGTTAATGGAAAGTTTTGCCATTCATTCCCATCGCAAGTGTATAAGAAAAAAATACTCGTTTTTGTGAAACATCAAATCGCTAGAATCCTTTCAACCTTTGAATTTCTCCTTTTGTTTGTAAGGAAAAGTGAAAGTTCAGCTCCTGAAATAAACAGATAAAAGTTATATTTATTTAACATATTCCTTAGCGGTTAACTTTTCTTTAATATGATAGCAATTGTTTTGTAGCCGAGGGGCAACTCCAAAAAACCGGAGATAAAATTTATCTTAACTGCACACCGCTAAATAAATGTTATTGTTATCAGACTTTTACAAAACTTATTTCCGCAGAGATTTGTACGACTAAATTGCACGCAATTTTTATTAGCTTCTCTCTTTTACTTTACTGTTTTTGCAATTAATATAAAATGCTTCTAACAGCACAAATTAGCTACTCCTTTTTTTCTGGATGTTTTCGTAAAGGAAGAATAAAGGAAATTAATTCCCTTGCGCATGTAAATACCGTAAAAAGGATCGTGAAATATAGCCCTTTTGGTTGTTAGTTAAATAGAATATAAATAAATAATTGGTGTAAAAACGTAACTTAATTTTTGCAAATTCGTTTTTCTGTTGCAAAACGTGTATGATGGGGTATGCTGAACGATAAGCCGTTATTTGGCTGATTAATGAGATCTGTTCTTTATAGCCCCAATCGAAATAGGCAAAGTTATAAAATATGGAACAAAGTTATTGGAAACAAAAAATTGTGTAGTGTGGTCCTTTCTATTTCGCCCCTTGTCTTAGTCTTAAAGATAGCAGCAGATCTGCGCTTAAAGCTAATAAATTCCATGTCAAACTGACTGCGATGCTCGAGAAGGCAATGCAAAAAATAACGGGAATAAATGATAAAGATTAAGATTCATAACTAATTATACGATGACACCAACTAGTTCGTTGTAGAATCTCGGAGTAAAAACGTAATAATGAATCCCGAAAGGCAGGACCCGTTTCTAAAGTCTCTGTATGCCTAAGGGGTTCATTCTAGCTTGGCTGATATCCAGTATAATTAATAGCAATTAATCATACCCCAAAAGTCCCGCAGCCATGTTTTTAGTAAAGGGCCGCCCGTAGTATTATCAACCTAATATCTGCACAACGATTTTGCTGCGTCAGTAATTATAGCCAACTTCCTAATTTACAGCAGGTGAGTAATGGAAAAGTGTCAAAGAAGCTCCCATACGACGCTACTGATGTAGCACTTTCAACGCTTTTATCGCTTAATATAATTAGCATTAAAAGGAGGGGAAAGGTAATTTAATTAGCATCTTGTTCCGATGCGTAAAATGATTGATGTAAATAAATAAAGGGCGGGATAAAAGATTCGTTTTCGACTTTTTTTGCTGTCGGAAGAGCAGATTGTTTTTAGACAAAATAAATGGAATCCGACATGAATGGTAAGATAATCTAATTAGACAGAGCACAGAAAGGTCATGCCCGGGAAAAGAAAACGAATACTAATGCAGTGTATGTTTTTCTACAAATTTAAAGGTTTTAGTTGTAGATTTGATGCGTTTAGTTGCTAAGTTACTTTTATAATTAACCAAAATGTTTCCCAATTAGTTCTGCGTTACAGCAACGTAGTAAGCAATATTTGAATTATTTTGGAATATACTACACAATCTCCTACAAAGTTGGATAGATTGGTATTTAATTGAAATTTTTCCGAATTATTATGGAACGTACCTATACCATAAACCAGCCCCTGATTCGTCTAATTCCAGAATATTCGACCCAAGGAAATCACGTTCTAGGTCAATTTTGCAACCAAAATATATGCCCTAATTTGCCCTTCCATCTCAAGGAAAATTCTTCCTAAAGAAAATGTGAGGTAGCATTTTTTTAAGATTCGCATTATTAGTCAGTACCTACTCAATAAAGAAGAATCGAAAATTTCTCCAAAAAAGAGTTTCTTTAGGGGAAATTTCTTTTGGTGTGGGGTTCACTGAAGAATTTCTTCTGTAGCTGGCGTGAGGGAAATTCTAGAGCTTAGGTGAGCGAATTTCTCTTTTTTCTTGGAGGCGAAGGGACTATCGGGTGTCCTTTGCGAAATAAAATCTGCCAACACATCATTTCCACAGTTGCTATATAGTGTCCAGGAGCCTTGCCAACCCTCATCGGCGTCAGAGCAGTTATTCAGTATTTATCTCCATTTCTTCGTCTTATATCTCGAACTTTTGTCCCTTTCCTACCTCACAGGTCTCTTGGGCTTGGTCTTCTGTCCCTGTTAACAGTTTCTTAAAAATACTTTCTCCGCCGTTCCATAACTGCTCCTTCTCCATATTCTTCAATACCCTACAGAACAGCTTTTGGTTGTCTTTACTATTGGTCTCGATTTTCTCTCCAAACTTCTGCTAACATTTTTCTTTTGCTTCCGCGACCAAATCTTTTATCCTTATTTCCCTTTTGTATTGTTCATATACATCTACTATTCTATTTTGTAGTTAACTCATCCACGCTTGTATTCTTCATATTCACCCCTGTTATTTTCCTTATAACGAGTTGTTCATATTCCTTGCCGTTTCGTCTTCTTGTAGTTTAAAATTTTTAATGGTTTCGTATTCTTTCTTTGTTTTTGCAGTTTGTACTTGTTTCGCTTTATTTCTCGCGACTATCATATAATGGTCGTTACCTATATTTTGTCCTCCTGACTTTTACGTCTCTTATCTCGCCTCCTTTCGATCAGTATGTTATCTGTTATTGATTTTTCGTCCTTTTCCTTGTGAATCTATGTATGTCCTTGTGGCTATAGAAAGTATTTACTATTATTAGGTCGTTCATCATGCTTCTACCCACTCTTGCATTAAAACCTCCCGCCACGTAAACCTTTCCTCTACTGCTCTCTGTCACCAAGTTTAAATTGTCTCAAAATTTGTTTTTCCTTTTCACCTTTTCGTTTTTATTAGGCCCCTGCGTACGGGCTCTCATTTGATTCATTATAAACAAACGAATTAACGATTCAAGATGTCCGTCTTAGTTGCCTTTTTATAGACGTTAATGAGTTAAAGAAATTAAGGGAGGGGTAGCAAGAATAAAATTTATTTAGGTGGTCCACGGAAGTAGGTACCAACCGTGTCGGTCGCAATTAAAAAAAAATTTAAAAAAAAGTGTTTTTTTAAAAAACACCATAGAATTCTTAGTAAAAATTTATTTTCTAGGTTGAGGGCGAGACCGCACTATAGTACGTTATCAAGGAACTGGAGCATGATTCAGTTTTGAGTCCCAGGAGTCTTAACTACATCGGAAAAAGTATAGTTTCCTTTATTTCTATTATGATCTAATATACAGTGTGTCCCAGGTAGAACGTACGCCATGATACGCCAATTTCCGAGTCTATGCGCCAGTTGAAACCATATGGTCCATACTTTCGAAAAGCAAATCTTCTTTATCTTCGTACACAAGGCATTTCCTTCTGCAGCCGTTGACATTCTATTTATCACTCAAGAAAATCCGCAACTGTATTGGCCCAGATGGAGCCAATTGTTTATAATTGGCCAAAATTCATAAATTTATGAACTAGGAACAATAATATTAAATTACTGTCTACGGTCGTCCATTACATGTCTTTTGTTGACTCTTATATGTCATTAACATTCGTATAATCGACGGTCTTTTTTACTCTGATCTGGATTAATTTGTAATAGGACTAATATAGTAAAAGCTAAAAGTAATTATACTAGCTGTACCTGTTACAGAAAAGTGAAAATGATCCAATTTAGTTGTCAGTCGGCACAAACCTTTTCATCTCCATCTTGAATTTATCACGATATCTCTCTTTACGACAGAAATAAAACGTCACTCCATCGGTATTAACATAGCTATCATTCCATCCCATTGTGCGAAATGGTTCGCCTCTGGTCATGAAAATAATTTCCACCATTCTAGTACAATAATAATGTTGGTGCCCGTGAGCTGAGTATTTCCAGATCATTTCAAGGATGAAGCCGCAATATGAAACTGCCGCTTACAAAGAAAACGTCCCGTAAACGTCAACGCATTGTTTTCTTCTTCCAGTTGTGATTTATAATTTTCCTGTTTCATTCGCGGTGTATTGTAATGTTGCAACCCATTTCTCCGTAATCGCTCCGGCATCAATAATAAGCCCTTGTTACAAGTAGAAACTTTTTAGTGCGTAAAATAAGGCCCTTAATTATTCATGTTCTTACTTAACCAAATTGT